GCTTGTGTACTGTGCATGCAGCAATTGAGGATTTTAATCTCCTTATGCAAGAAGCATGCCATACATTCACATCTTCAAGAGTATGTGCATTTCTTTCCTAACAGTGTTTTCTAGATAATCTGGGGGCTTGAAATGACAAGGGAAACGCTTCGGCAAAGTGCAGAAGGAACCAAGTGGACACTCCTATAGTGCTATAATAAGAAAAACGAAGAAATATATCGGTTTGTTTAATCTGGGATCAGGAACAGTGAACTGCAGCAAATGTGATAAGGGCATGAGACAACATCACTACAGAGCAGAGTTAGTAGTTCAGGTGTACTTTTGCCATCCCTTTAGAATTTGCATTTCTTAAACTTGAATTTAGAATTTCCTGGATTTGTAATCCTGATTTTATTTATTTTATTTGGGTGGGACTTCAAAATCCATACTACATTGTTTGCTCTAAATGATGTGTAATCAATCTTAATTTCATTTTAAAGTTAACATCTGACTTGATGTAATGTAAGCTATTCAGAGGCACAGTTGACTAAAGTAAGGGAAAATCAGTGAAAGATAAATGCTTTTAGAGAGGGTCAGACAGAGTATTAGTATTATTATTAGAATTATTATGTTTCCTTTGAATCTTTTCATGTGAGATTTTGGCCAGAATTACTTGCATGTTCAAGTTCCTCTTTCAGGTAGTTATGATCACCTGCAAATAACTTCTTAATGCACTCTATTAGAGTACCACCATGCTAAGTGGGACTTACCCCTGTGTGGTTATGAGACCATGCTACTGATTTATAACTATGCTGTAACTTATCTCTGGGGGCTCTGTCACAATACAAGTGTAACAAAACGCTTGCAGCTGAAGCCTTTTTAAAAAGTTTTTATAGTCGCAGCTTGTTTGTATGGCAACAGGAAGCACCCAAGTTAAGTAACAGTGCAACAGCTCCAGCATGGCAACTAATTTTTCCCTTTTGAAGCTGTTAAAAGTTACTTCAGTCCAGAGTGGAGGTTGCATTTTCTAAGTACTTTATATTGGCATGCAAGGGAATTTAGAAAGGTATTTTAAAGCTCTCTCAAACAGCAGAGAGATTTCCTGATCAAAAAGGATCAAGGATTCTTTATAGAACTTTAATATGAGGAAGGAATTTACCTGGTTGAAACTAAATGTGGCAGCACACGGTAGTTTGGTGTCCTACTACAGTAACTGGTGGCACTTGCAATGAAATGGGTTCCACTGCTTATCTCTTGGATTTGACAGGCCGCTTGCACCCGCTGCAGGCAAAAGGAAGATCCTGTGATATCTTGATGTGCATTAAAGTTGAATCCCCTTTCTGCTGTTCATGACTGACAAAGAGATCATGCATCCCTTCAGCTTGACAGTCTCATGCTGTAGGGGGGAAAGGGAGTGGAAATTATGTGGTGGGCCTTTTTCTTAAAGGAGTGTCGGGGGCAATGAAGAGTAATAACGGTTTTTCCCTCTTGCTGCCTTCTCTTTTACATTGCTAATTGGTTCCAAACATCAAAGCATATTTACTTAGAAAACTTATGCTAGAATGTTGTATAATGGATTAGAGGGGAGAGGTGGTCTAATGCAGTGTTTCTCAACCCTTGTATTGCAACCCAAAAATGGATCGCAAGAATGTATGAAAGGGTCACTCATGGACAAACTATCAACAAGCTTTAAAAATGGATTTTCCTTTAAAGGAGAAAAATTTGGGAAACTGTGGCTTTTCCCTTGCAGGCTGGCAGATTTGCAGCAAGGGGCTGCTTGGAGACCCCCACGTCCCACACCCACCCCTTACCCCATGCACTGGGAGCCTGGGGGTGGTGGGTTGGGAGCCTTGGGTGGGGTGGGTTGGGACTGGGCATCCATGTTTACAGATGGGTCCTGGTACAAAAAAGGTTGAGAACCACTGGTCTAATGGTTAGGATGACTTAGAGGTAATGTTCATTTTCCAACTTGTCCACAAATATCCAGTGTGATCAAGTTATTGAGTCTCTGCTTCTTCACTTCAGTGCCACAAGTGCTGTTCAAATAAATTCACTAGTTTAAGTGTTCTAAAGCAGTGAGAATGGTGGCCTGTAAATAATGCATTAATTTGTCACAATCCTTGCTGAAGGCCATAGAGATTTTTCAGTAGTTCATTTTATAACTTAGTTTCTGTAGAGCACCTTGAGTTTCTGCTCCTCCTTTGCACCAGGAGAATTAGTAAATTCCTAGTGCAAGGCCGTATACCCTGGTGGAAAACCTTCCAAAGACCATGACAGGCACAAGGAATTCCTTAATCCTGGCCTTAAGCCACTTCAGTGACTGGTCTTGTCTGTAGCGTTCCTGTAACGTGAAATCCCAAGGAGAGATACTGCGACCAAGCAGAGGGCTTCAAGTTGCTTGTTCTTTGCACTAAATTAATAGTGTCTGAGTTTCATTTGAGCTTTAAATGCCTTACATTTATCTGGGAAACAAATTGTGGCACAGTCTTAGGTGAAAGGTCTCTCACTACCTTAATGTTAAGGTGACACTGGTCCAAATTTTTTTCATCACGTTTTGGCTAATAAGTAACTTTTTGACTGGCCTTACAATGGTCAATATTTTCCTAGCAGTTCTGTTGGCAGCCACTTCACCTGCTGCAAGTCTGAACCCAGTTATGTCAATGATCTTTGGAAATGGAACGTGGGAGGGGGAGTTCTTTGAGATGGATTTGGCAATATGTGCTTGGAGCCAAATCCTTTTTTTACCTATTTAAGCACCTAAGTGTGATCCTACTCTAGCCAACTCAAGTCCCTGAAAAGCTGGTAACATGAAAGGTGGATGGGTCCTCCTCCTCCTGACTGCTTTTTGTGACTTGGCCTTAGGGCTAAGATGCCTTGTTGCAAAAGTAAGTGTGTTATCATCTGTTCAGGCACTTGAATAAGGTGGAATAGGATCCTGCTTAAGCGTTCAAGTCTACTTAAACATCAAAAGGGTGAAGTAGAATCCAGCCCTTGGTCTACTTTGGTTTTTCTTCCTCTGGAGTATGGTGAAGTCTTTGCATTTGGAAAAGAAAACTATTATTACCAGATCTCTTGCCCATTGATGAGGCTGGCGCATACAAAGTTAACCAAGTCACCTCTGTGCTTTTCTATTTCAGTCTGTGGATCTTGCACCGAAGGGTTATGGTATAGCAGACGGGCCTAAAGAAATTAACTTATGTGGAATGTTATTAAAGGAGCAGTGGAAAAACTTCATAGTTTCATAGTTTCTAGGGTCGGAAGGGACCTGAGTAGATCATCTAGTCCGACCCCCTGCCATGGCAGGAAAGAGTACTGGGGTCAAACGACCCCAGCAAGGTGTCCATCTAACCTCATCTTAAAGACCCCCAGGGTAGGGGCCAGCACCACTTCTCTTGGAAGTTGGTTCCAGAGCCTAGCCGCCCTGACGGTGAAGTAGCGCCTCCTGATATCTAGCCTAAATCTACCCTCTACCAGCTTGTGACCATTATTCCTGGTCACTCCTGGCAGTGCTCAGGGGAACAGGGACTTCCCCACTGCCTGCTGATCCCCCCTGACTAGTTTGTAACAGGCCACTAGGTCCCCGCTCAGCCTTCTCTTGTGGCCCGTCGCCTCTCCTCATAGGGCCTGCCCTGCTGCCCCCTGATCATGCGAGTGGCTCACCTCTGGACCCTCTCCACGTTGTCCACATCCCTCTTGAAGTGTGGCGCCCAGAACTGGACGCAGTACTCCAGCTGCAGCCTGACCAGTGCCGCATAGAGGGGGAGGATCACCTCCTTGGACCTGCTCGAGATGCATCTGTGGGTGCATGACAAGGTGCGGTTGGCCTTCCTGACTGCTTCCCCACACTGCCGACCCATGTTCCTCTTGGAGTCAATGATGACTCCAAG